GGATATCGGGGTTAAAAGGTCTCCCAAGCTCATAGGTTGATAAGATTGACAACAAAAACAGCCATCCAAACAAAAATAATCTACATATTTGACTTAATCCCCATAAAAATTCCAACATAATTCTTCATATACTCTGAAGGGAAAATATTTAATTTCATATGCAAAATCAAACCAAAACAAAAATAACAGGACAACTAAAATGATTCTGAACAATAAAGGAACATCTGGAGGTATCACCATTCTTGATTTCAAGCTGTACTACAGAGTTATAGTATAAAAACCATATGGTATTGGCATAAAAACAGACAGATTGATCAATGAAATTGAATCAAAGACCCAGAAATAAATCCACACAGCTATGGAGACATGATTTTTGATAAGGAAGTCAGAAAGAAACAATGGAAAAAGAAAGCATCTTCAACAGTATACTGCTATAACTTGAAATCAGCATGTTGAATAATTTTGTGGAAAACTGACCCATATCTATCACTCTGCACAAAACTCAAGTCCAAGTGGACCAAAGACCTCAACATAAAACCAGGAACACTGAACCTAGTAGAAGAGAAAGTGGGGAATATCCTCGAACACTTTGGTACATAAGGCTACTTCCTGAACAAAACACAGATAGCACAGGGAGTAAGAACAAAACTCAATGAATGGGGCCTCATGAAACCAAAAAGCTTCTGTAAGGCAAAGGACACCATCAATAGGACAAAACAGCAGCCTACAGAATGGGAAAATATCTTCATCAACTCCACTTCTGACAGAGGGCTAATATTCAAAATATATAAAGACTCAAGAAACTAGACATCAACAAACCAAATAATTCAATTTAAAAATGGGGTACAGATTTAGACAGAAAAATCTCAAATTGCTGAGAAAAACTTAAACATATGACATACTTAGCCAACAGGGAAATGCAAATCAAAATGGCTTTGAGATTCCATCTTACACCTGTCAGGATGGCTAAGATCAAATACGAAAGTGGTGGTAGCTCATGCTGGTGAGGGTGTAGAGAAAGGGGGAAAGGCTTCCATTGATGGGCAGAGTGCCAACTTGTAAAGCTACTATGGAAATCAGTATGGCAGTTCCTCAGAAAATTGGGAATCAATCTATCTCAAGACATAGCTATACCATACTTGGGCAAATACCCAAAGGATGGTCCACCCTTCCACAAGGATACTGGATCATTCATGTTCATTGAAGCTTTATTCATAATAGCCAGAAACTGGAAACAACCTAGATATTCCTCAAACAAAAAATGGATAAAGAAAATGTGGTGCATTTATACTATGGAGTATTACTCAGTAGTTAAAAACAATGACATCATGAAATATGCAGATAAATGGATAGAAGAAAAGATCTTCCTGAGTGAGTCAATACAGACCCAGAAAGACAAACATGGTATGTACTCACTAATAAGTGGACATTAACTGTTAAGTAAAGTATAATCATGCTATAATCTATAGACCTAGAGAAAATAAATAATAAGGAGGGCTCAAGGTAGGACACATGGATCTCCCTGGGAAGAGGAAATAGAATAGATTTTGTGGGTGAGCTGAGGGAGGGTGCAATGGAAACAGGAGGGATCACATTGAGGGAAGGAAGGAGAAAATACTTGGAGAAACAACTGGAATTGGAAGGCATTTCAGGGACAAGGTAATGAAACCCAGTGTAATGAAAACTCCATGGAACCTACAAGAGTAACCCTCGGAAACACTCCTTGTAATGCAGGACAGGGAGCCTGAACCAGCCATCTTCTCTAACCAGGCAGTGCCTCAACTGGAGTGATTGGGACACCAACTCAGCCCCAGAACCTTTAACCTAAAGTTTGTTCTGCCTGCAAAGTGTTCTGGGACCAGAGCCTAGCAGAATCATCATCAAAGAGATCAGAGAAATGTTCATGCCACAACAGATGGGGACAGATGCAGAGCCCCACCGCTAAACATTAGACTGAGGTCGGGGGTTCCTGCAGAGGAAGGGAGGAGAGGTCAGAGATACCAGGAGAATGCAGCCCACAGATTCAATTGACTGAGACTCATGGAGTTTTGTATAGATCAGGAAGCCTGTAGGGGTCTGACCTAGGTCCTGTATATTATGGTTGAGTAGCTTGGTGTTTTTGTGGGATTCCTAACAGTAGGCGTGGGTACTTTCTTTGACTCTTTTGCATACCTGTGGAAACCTTTTTCTCATAGGGGATTGCTTCATCCAGCCTTGATGTAATGTGGTATGTGCCTGGTCTTGTTGTAGCGTATTATGCTACATTTGCTTGATGTCCTGGGAGGCCTGTCCTTTCCTAAGGGGAAGCAGAGGGGCGCTGAATCTGGGGGAGGGGGGGGTTTGGGATAAAGGCTGGGAGAGGAGGGATGTAATATACAAGAGAAGAATAAAAACAATGGTAGAGAGTCAGTTAGACTCTAAACAAGTTAGACAATAAACAAATTTAAATGGCAAGGGTCCACCATCAAAAGTTCAATGGGAAGCAGTACCAGACTAAGGTACTGTATTAATATCTAAATGAAGAGAATTACCAGACTAAGGTACTCTGTATTAATATCTAAATGAAGAGAATTACTGCTTGCAAAATAGGGGACCTCAGGGGAATAAATACCATGAAAACCAGGTCTTTACAATGAGGAGAATCTTTGAGCAGGACCTAACCCCTGACCATCAGTGACAGTGTGGGGAATAACAGAGAAAGAGTATGGGAAGGATCACAAATCAGCTCTCTGCTTCTTCCCTTCAATAGAAGAATGCAGTTCCCTCTGCAATTGTAACACAACTGGATTGAAGCTCCTAAATCCTGGAGCCCTGATAAAGATTTATTTATTTCTTTTAAAATATTTTGGGTTTTTCTCCTGGTGAGAAAAAAATATGACCAATACTCTTTGATTAACAATCTAAAACTGAAAACCCAAGAAGGACACAAAACAAACCCAGTGGGTTAGAATTTTACTAAAACATGAACTTTAGTTTTAAGCAACACAGAATTTATACAGGAAAAGATAGTGATATATTGTCATGTGAAAACAATGATGCAACTAATACTGTCAGAGAAAACAGGAAAAATCACAGTTTCATCAAAAATAGTACTACAAATTAGCCTGATGTTACTGATCTGGAAGGTTGTGGGCCTGTGTTGCATTTAGGTAAAAGTTGAAAAAAATCTCACATTCTGAACAGTGTGAGTTACATTTTAGAATAAGAAGTACTTCCTGGGTAATTTAGTCCTACTGATAAAATGAGTATTGATCCTATTTATTTGAAGAAAACCACTGTTAGCGGATTTAAAATCCTTGATTTCTACTTTTCCAATTTATTACCTGTCATAATATAATATGTGAATGTCTATATTCAGAATTAAAAAAATGTGTTTAAAGCTAGAATTTAAAATACAAAATTAAACCAGGTTTCACTGTATTCTACTGCATACTAATAAAGCTTGGTAGTTGATACTCTGCCCTACCAAATAGAAAAACCTCAAGCAATCTAAATAATCATTACATCATGAGAAATCACTGTCTAAGAATTGGGCACAAGATATAGACAATAAACAAATTTAAATGGCAAGGGTCCACCATCAAAAGTTCAATGGGAAGCGGTACCAGACTAAGAATCCTTCATCTGCTTTGAGGACTTTATGATATGAGAGTGTCTAAGGAGATCTATGCTAAGGAGATCTGTTCTTTGAGGAAGACACCAACACTCTCAAAGCTTTCCTTTAAGTGTTCTGCATGATATTCACAGGTAACATTTAGGGGGAAATAGCCCTACCAGGCCTCCAGGAGAAGTTGGTGGTGATGCAGGAGCAGCCATTTGTGCTGTAGAGTGAAGGCTGTTCTACTTACAAAGGCCAGTCTTCAAGAACAAATACTTTGCCAGCCCCTTATCTGAGGTTTGTAAGAACCTAACTGACTTCAGTGAGTTTGAGCATCCAGTTCAGACTTACTTTTCCAAATTGAGAAAGGGATATAGGTGTGCCTGAAGAGAGCCCGAGCTTGTCAACATTCAGTCATTGATGATGGAGGTTCTCACAGGACCTAGGCCCTCTCTAGGAAGGCATTGGCAGTTGAGAGCTGCTGGATCAGGTGGAGTCAATGTCTTCAGTAGCTTAGCCCCTGATGATTTGCTTTGGTCTATGGATCATACACACAACCATATGTGCAGTCTTGGTTAATTAAACCAGTGAGCTCCAAAGCAGCAAAGCAAAAAGACATGAAGCTGGAGAGTGACTTACTGTGAAGTGAGTTATAGTTCATGGGACATAAAGGGAAATAGGAGAGTGTGAGATGTGAGTGTGATCAAAATGTATCATATACTTGTATGAAATTATCTTAAAGAAAAAGGGGAAAACATGATCATATTTTGTAACCACAAATGTTCATAGTTTGAAGCATAAAACATTTCCATTCACATTAGATCATACTACAGTGAGGAGGAAGATTAGACAGTGAGCAGCCCATGATGATTTTACTGGGAGCCCTGCCATGAAATTACATGTGCATTTATGGAAGGGAAGGTTAGGCTAATAGTTCTGAAGGGGTGCTAATTACAAGCTGCATGCTCTTTCCATAACTGTTTCTGAACACTTTCTTTGCTGCCTCTGGCCATTTTTAGCATCTTACTGGAAGGAGATGAGACTAGTTTACTGTGTTTATTTACAGTCTATATTCCCTTTGTATTTGAGTGGATGTATTGAGTCCTAAGGAGGATGTAAGACTTGAGAGACTGCTAAGAGACACAGCAGGTAGGACATCAGGAGGTTCTAGGTTAACTTTATTGGGAAATAAATACACTTTCCACCAGGTTCAAGAATTCATCCACAGTGTAGAAGTTTTGACATATGAAATTGTCTTGTTGCTGCCTAACTCTGGTCTCTTGAAGCCTAAGAGCCATGTGACTGATGTTTATTGGTTCACTGGATGTTTGTGTACACAACATTTTCTCTAGGCTGTCAAGAAAGTACGTAAGTCTAACATGTGTTAATTATCATTGATCAGGTATTCACAAATATTGGGTCTTGATGGAATGCACAGAACATCCTCTCCAAGTCCTCTATGGCATTTCCTTCATCTTGGCAGTCAATCTGGAAAATGACAGCCTTGAAATTTGCCTTCTGCTCTTCAGATATGGTAAGTTCTCTGAGTCTGTGTCAGAACATGAGGAAGAGGTGATTTTTTTCCTTTTATTTTATTTTACAATATCATTCAGTTCAACATATCAGCCATGGATTCCCTTGTTCTCCTCCCTCCTGCCCCCCCTCCTCCCAGCCCACTTCCCATCCCCACCTCCTCCAGGGCAAAGCCTCCCCTGAGGACTGAGATCAACCTGGTAGACTCAGTCCAGGCAGGTCCCGTCCCGGAAGAGGTAATTTTTTTACAACAAGGTTTATAGTAGGAAACATAAGACCTATCCACTTGCATTTATGGAAGGCACAGTGTGATCGGAAGAGGCTGTGAGCTCATGACTCATCCTAGAGCACAAAGGGAACACTGGCTCCTTGTCATCTGCCCTTAGAGAGGTCTGGCTTAATGTAAGAGGAGGCTTCTGAATCTCACCTACAAGGACTATTTCACAGACTTGGAGCACATTTTCCAGGACTGTTCAACACCTACCTTTCAGGTACTAACACACACAAAAATGAATCATACAGTCTATTTGGGGAGAGTAAATTGATTTAGGGAAGTGAATGTTTCTTAGTTTGTTCAGGTTAGTGGTAGAAATACAACCGATGAGCCTATTAGCACTGGCTCTAATTCACACATTATCGTGTAGATGTGTGTATGTGAGGATCAAGTGCAGGGGTAGAAAATGCTTGGGAATTGTTGGAACAAGATTTAAGGTTGATTTTCCAAAATAATATAGGGACCCACAGGCAATATTTTAAGTGCATGTGAACAACCACAGTGCCATTATGTATTTTCTATGATATTTCTAGGTGAGTTATTCACTCTACCACGACCAAAGAATGATTATTTTAGAATCTCAAAGTTCCGTCCTCATTGACCTCACCATACAGTATGGCAATTGTCTAATCTCTGTATATGTCTATCTCTTGTGATCTCAGGAGCAAGGACCAATAGTGAGTGCTTGAACAAATAGACCAAACACACTTACCAATTCTTGATAGAAAACCTGCACTTGTTAGACATCTGTAATACTGACTTCTGCATTTTATCTAAGAAAAGGTTGTCCTCCCCACAATATTCCTACTAAACTCAAAACCAAGTATAAAGCAACTCAGTTCTTAACTGAAAAATAAGTTTTCTTAGAAAAGGTAGTATTTCCTACTTTATATGCAACCTTGTTTCATATATGAAAATTCTGCTGAAGAGATGTGTTTTTTGGAGGACCAAAGTTTTAAAAATTATAGAGAATTATATATAAAATATAGCATCTTAAGAGTTTGTTATGAATGAACAATATGTCATGAAACTTGATTAGGAACCATCTGTATGATACAGAGGAAGGGGGGTTATTGATCTCTTGAGATTGAGGCGGATTTCACATGCTGTAGAGGTTAAAGGATGATATTGGATACTGGTTCTCAGATATAGCTATATTTGAGAGAAGGTCTTCTGTTGTGTGCTGGATTCTTCCGCCCCAGACTCACATATCACAGTGGTAGAATTGCAATTGAAGACAAGTTTGTATCTAAACTTAACAATTAGTGCTTTACTGACTGACATGTATCTCGAGCACTTTAATGTGCATCTTTGATGTCTGGTAAGTACCCTGTATTTGTTGTGCATCTCCCCTTTCAGCTGTCCGGTGTCTACATGTCACTGGTGGATAGTATAGGTGCCAGTGGTGAGGAGTGCAATTTTACTCTCTTATCTCCATATCCCTTTTAAGTGCTCGAAGATTCCTTGAGAATACTGTCACCTATAAGACCCTCTGGATCCCTGTATTATCAAGTAGTATACCATTTCACAAAGTTGTCAGGTAGATCTGAGATAATTATCAATTTAAACTTACCCTTCCTTCAGTGAACGTAGATGGCAGCAGCAGAGTTATGAAAAACAACATCATTGAGGAAGAAGCCATGGCTGAAACTAATCAAAGAAAAGTCCTGGTTGAAGTAAGCAGTGCATGTCAGTGCAAGTAAGCAGGACACAGGGTAACCAACACATTGATAGAAGATATGCCAAAGCAACCCTACCTGACAAATTCATTAAGGATATAACAAGGGAAGAGTTGCTGTAGTTTCATTGTGCCCACCTCACCTCTAACAGGAACAGTACATAAACTCCACTGGTATCCCTGATGTGTACTTGCAAAGGCCAGGTAGGGAATTTCTGGTTTCTTTCTGCACATATCTATTCCTCTGTGCTTAAAAGGGAAATGTGGAAGAACAGATATAATTCAATTTTTTTTCTGTGTACCATCTCTTATTTTGCTATTCCTTGTTTATAGCTTTCATCTGTACTGGACATGAATCAGGGTGACAGGGTTGTGCTTATGCAGACATAACCATACAAACACCTTAGAAATGACAAATTTTGAAAAGAAATGGCAAGTTATGCCATTTTTTCATATACTCATATCAATTTTCACTTATTTTAAATAAGAAAATATAAACACAGTTAATGAATTACATACTTCATCTATTTAATCTCACTCAGTCCATCATTTGTTAAATGGGTTATTTCATATTTTCATTAAGTTTTAAACATACTGCTCATTGCACACAATGTCCTTTCTCAATGAGTCACCAGGTCTTACATCCTGTAGATGCTGCTAAAGACCACTTAGTGTGAAATGTACTCACTCACCATCCTTCTGGAACTCATAGAAATGGCTTATCTTGTAAATTAGATGTGGTATCTCACTTTCTATACTTTATGTAAATTTTAAATTCTCAAAGTCTTTTTTAAGTTTATAACTTTCTTGAAATTTTTACCTAGGTGAATGAAAATGGAGAAACTTTATCAGCAAAGATCTGATACATTTTACATTTTTTATGCTGTTCCCCATACTTTCCCTCATCAAGTCCTCCTATGTACTCTGTAATTCTCTTTCAGATTCACTCCCTGTTTTTTCATTGTAATTTATGTCAAAATTTGAGGTAAAAAATGTCCTCACAGAGATCTGTAATGTCTTTTTCCTTGGTCTTCCCTCTTAAACACCAATAACTGCTCAGGATCCAGAAAACATTCCAGGTCACCCTAGATCTTCACTCAGTGCCCACACCTTCCAGAATTACAGCCTTTTTTCTTGTTTGTAGTGGATCAGCAAGGAATAAATTGTAATTAATGCTTCTGCTCCCTATGATACTTACCTTCGGGTTTAAATGTTAGACAGAATGTGGCCTCATTCTTCTTAATTATGGGAAGATGAGGAAATGCATTTGATTTGAATTTTATCATCAGTGTAGTATGTTGCTCTATATTACTTCTCACCTGACCAGATTCATAATTAAAGAGTGCTGGGCAGTCCCTCAATGTCCTCATATATTTCACAGACCGAGGCTCTGACGTGTCACTGGCCACTGTAATCTTAACATTGTAAATACTGCCCTTTTACCATGGAGCTTGCTTTCATCCTCCACAGTCTTAGCTTGAATTGCTTATTCCATAGACTTTCAGTCAGGTCAGCTCCTGGTGCAGGCTCCTGTGCGGCTCTGGGTCTCTGGGTCTCTCTTTCAATGGGTAGAGGGAGGGTCTTTAGAGTTCGAGGCCACACGTGGTGCTGCTCTTCCCAGCAGGCTGGTGAGATTGCAGAGTTTTTCTTGGGTTCTGCTTCTTGCCCATCAGAATATGGGAGAGAGTGACATGGGACAGCAGCCCTGGGTAATTCCCCAGCATCTGTTAGGTGGGTCGGTGATCCACTATTTTACTTTTGTTGTCTTTGCTCCAGGGGATTTTCCTTTACTCCTTTCAAAGCTAGATATGGCGGGGGGGGGGGGGGGGAAGAGTCTCCCTTCTCTCTATGCCTTTTATCTAGCATGTTAGGTTCCCGTTTGCTTTTCCCATTATAAGTGTATTACTCAATATTTGTCTTTGTTTCTGTTCTTTCTTATTCTGCTATTTAATACACCGTTTCCTTGTCTTTCAATGATTCTCACATGTGTGATTACATTGTTTTTCTTTTTTCAGATTTGTGAGGATTTAGTAGGATATTGCTTGCCTCTATTCTTGGAATATCTTCAGAAACTGAATTATTCATCATGGCCAATTTGAGTCCAGTGTGTTGATACACATCATACCATGTGTTAAGTTGACCATACATTTGGCACAGTTTATCCAAGCCTGAAAAGCTTCCCCAGGCTGCAGGTTCTTTCCCATGAACTGCATAACTGCATTGACCCCAGCCTGGGTGATCATCTCTGTACAATTTCCTGTGAAATTTACTTCACTCCTTTCCTGTATCATAGAAATCACCATTGTTCTCAGAACACAGAACTTGAAGATCAGATAGAAGAAAAAGACTATCATTACAAGAAGTATTTATATGGAGGAGAACATGACATGTTCATGCCATAAATGACCTTGTGACACAGGCATTTGTGCCTTGGCCCTCTAGAGGCATGCTAAGTAGAAGATCCAGAGGGGAACGCACAGAGGGTTGATGGTCCACAATCTTGGGTTCCTCACCTCCAATCTCTGCTGGCAGCACATCAGGCATCTTACATGCTGTCCCCGGCAGATCATAAAGTCTACTGATGATACTGATACTTCTAGAACTAACTAGAGTCCTGAATAAATGTCTACATTTTTTATAGGTGTTGGTGTTAGCAAGCCAAGGTCAAAGAGTTCATCTCACCCCAAAGATAAATTCTACTCCAAAGAAGGGCTACAGGATCAGATATGGAGGGACCAATAGGTGAGTGAATGATTGACATCTCTACTAGGCCATGTCAACCATGGGGGCTGATATGAGCTAGGGTGATGGACTTTAGTTTTAAACAACAAAGAATTTATACTGGAATAGATAATGATATATATTCATGTGAGAAAATTGATGTAGCTCATTCACTCAGAGAAGACAGGAAAATCATATAATTTCAGTAAAAACGGGGCTACTGGTTAGCTTGATGTTATTGAACTGGAAAGTTGTATGGCTGAAGTGTATTTAGAAAAAAGTCAAAAGATGTTTACATTCTGAATAGAGTATGAGTCATGTTTTAGAATGAGAAGTGTTTCCTGTGTAATTTAGTGTTACTGATAAGATATGTATTGAGCCATAGTTATTTGAAGAAAGCCAATGTTAGCAGGTATAAAATATCTGATTTTTCACAATGCTAATATATTTCCTGTCATAATATGACATATGTATATCTATGTTAAGAATTTATAAATGCATTTGAGTCTACAATTTAAAATACAAAATTAAATCAGAGCTCAGTCATCGGCTGTATAATAAAGCTTAGTAGTTGATATTCTGCCTTGCCATGTAAAAAATTTCAAACAAACTAAAAGAAAAATCAAGGCAAATCACTGTCTAAGAATTGGACACAAGATACATACAATAACAAATTCAAATGGCAAGGGCCCACCATCAAAACCTCCACGGAAAGCAGTAGCAGACTATGAATCCTTCATCTGCTTTGAGGACTTCTGTGATAAGAGTGTCAAGGAGATTCATTCTCTGAGGAAGACCTCAACACTTTCAAAGCTTTCCTTCAAGTGCTCTACCTGGTATGCACAGTGAAGATTTAGGGGGAAATAACCCTACCAGGCCTCCAGGAGAAGTTGGTGGTGGTGCAGGAGTAGCCATTTGTACTGCAAGAGTGAAGGCTATTTTAAAAAACCTAATCTTCAAGAACAAATACTTCACCAGCCCCTGATCTGAGGTTTATAAGAACCTAACTGACTTGAAGGAATTCAGACTTACTTTTCTTTTCCACTTGGGCAAATGGACATAGGACTGCATGAACAGTGCCTAGGTAAGATTGGGCTTGTCAACATTCAGTCATCGATGATAGAGGGTCTCACAGGAACTAGGCCCTCCTTAGGAAGGCATCAGCAGTTGAGGGCTACTGGGACTGGGGGAATCATTATCTTCAGTAGCTTAGTCCCTGGTGATTTGCCTGAGTTTATGAATCATATACATGACAGTATGTGTAGTTTTGGTTAAATCCAGTGAGCTCCAGAACAACAAAGCAAAAAGACATGAAGCACGAGAGTGACTTATTGGGAAGTGATTTATAGTTCATGGGAGACAGAGGGAAATAGAGTCTGCAGTGTGAGTGTGTTCAAAATGTATCATAACTTGTATGAAATGATCAAAGATGTTAAAGGGAAAAACTATGATGTTTATATATTATAAACAAAAATGTTCTTAGTTTGAAGCATAGAACATTTCCATTCACTTTTGATTAGACTACAGTGAGGAAAAGTGAGTAGCCCATGATGATTTTACCAGAAATTCTGCTATGAAATAACATGTGCATTTAAGGAAGGGAAGGTTGTGCCAACAGTTATGAAGTGATGCTAATTACTAGCTAACTGCTCCTCCTACACCTGGTTCAGAACATGTTCTTGGCTGCCTTTGGCCATTTTTAGCATTTGACTAGAAGGAGGAGAGACTAGTTTGTTGTGTTTATTTACAGTCTCTACTCTCCTTGTGTTTGGGTGGTTATCTAAAGAGGATGTAGGAATTAAAAGAGAGGCCAATAAGACACATAGCAGGTAGGACACCAGGAGGCCCAAGGTTAACTATATTTAGAATTCAACACATTTTCTGATAAATTCAAGAATTTGTCAACATTGTAGAGGACTTGATCTATAAAATTGTTTTGTTAGTGCGTAGCTCTGCTCCCTTGATGCCTATCAGCCATGCTACTGAAGTTTAGTGGAGCCACACGATACAACATTTTCTCAGGGCAGTCAATACTGCAGACATGAGGTCTAACATGTGGTTATTAGCATTGGCCAAGTCTTCAGACAATGTTTGATATTGATGGGAGGCAAGGCGAATTCTCTCCAAGGCTTCTGTATTTCCTGTACCTTGGCCATCAACCTTGTCCAAGCCAGTCTTGGCATTTGTCTTCTGATCAGCAGATACGGCTGGTTCTTTCTGAGTCTGAGTCAGGACCTGAGTTAGAAGTAATTTATTATAACAAGATTTATAGTAAGGAACATAAGACCTATCCATATGTATGTACACAAGATGCAGTAAGATGGAAAGAGGTTGTGAGCCCATGACTCATCCAACATCACATAACATTGGCTCCTTGTTAACTGCAGTTAGAGAGAATTTGGCTCAGTGCAAATGCAGACATCCCACTCCGCATTTACCATGACAGTTTCGCAGATTTGGATCACATTCTCTAGGTCTGCTTAACACATAGTTTTCTGATACTGACACAAAAAGTCTTCCAGGCTGCTTGAGGATAGTAACTTAATCTAGTGAAGTGACTGTGTCTCAGTTTGTTCAGGTTAATGATAGAAATGCAACTGATGAGCTATAAGCACTGGTTCAAATTGACACATTATCTTGGAGATGTGTCTATGTGGGGATCAAATGCAGGGGTGGAAAAATGTTTGTGATTTTTCTGACCAAGATCGAAGGTTGATTTTCCACAACAGTGGGGGCCTATGAGTAAGAACAATGCTTTAAGCATAAGTAAACAGTCAGTGTAATTATATATTTTCTTTGATATTTGGAGTTGAATTATTAAATTCATCATGAATAAAGATTGATTTTTTTTTATAATCTCAGAGTTTTGTCCTCTTATACTTCACCATAGAATATCACTGTTATCTACTCTATGTGTGTGTTTATCACCTGTTTTATGTTCCCATGAATAGTTCCCATTAATAGTGCTTGAACAAATAGATCAAGTAGACTTATCACTTCTTGGTAGGAAAAATATAATTGCTAGACATCTTTAATAATGAATCACTTTATTTTATCTAAGCCAAAGTTGTCATCCCATAGTATTCCTATTACACCCAAAACCAAGTATAAAACAAATTCACTTCAAAACTCAAAATGAGTTCACCTAGCAGAAAAAGCAGTGTAATTTTCTACTTCTTATTCTATCTTTTTTTTTTTATTTTTCTAAGATAGGGTTTCACTGTGTAGCTTTGTGCCTTTCTTAGATCTCGCTCAGTAGACCAAGCTGGCCTCGAACTCACAGAGATCCGCCTGGCTCTGCCTCCCGAGTGCTGGGATTAAAGGTGTGCGCCACCACCGCCCGACATTCTATCTTGTTTTGCATAGGAAAACTCTTCTCAAGAGATATGTTTTTTGGAGGGATGACATTTAAAAATTATTAACATGAATATATAAAATATAGCAACTTTTAAGAGTTCATTTTGAATGAACAACATGTCCTCAGACCTGATTAGGAACCATTTGTATGATGAAGAAGAAGGAGGCGTTATTTATCTCTTGTGTTTGAGGCAGATTTCACATGATATAGAAGTTAATAGATAATTTTGTCTGTTTGTCCTCAGGTTTAGCTATATTTGACACAAGGTCCTTTGTTGGCTGTTGGCTTCGTCTTCTGCTTCCTTACATTTTACAGTGGTAGTACTGCAATTGAAGACAAGCTTTATGTCTAAACTCAACTGTTAATGCTGTTGTGACTGACAAGTATCTCAATCCCCTTAATCTTTGATGTCTGTTACACACCATATACTTGTAGTGCTGCTCTCTTAGTGTCCAGTGTCTGCATGTCACTGGTGGGTAAGTATAGCTGCCAGTGTTGAAGAGTGCAAACTTACTCATCTCCATAGCCCTGTGATTCGAGACCCCTCGAGAATGCTGTCATCTATCAGATGCTCTGGATTCCTGTACTCTCAAATAGTGCACCATCTCACACAGTTGTCAGGTAGATCTGAGATGATGATCATTTTAAACTTACCCTTCCTTCAGTGAGCATTGATGACATCAGCAGAGTAATGAGAAGCAACATCATTGGGGAAGAAGCCATGACTGAAAGTAATCAAAGAAGTCCTGGTTGAATTAAGCAGTGCATGGGACACAAAGACAAACAACACATTGATAGAAGATATGCCAAAGCAATTCTCCCTGACAAATTCATTAAGGATATAGCAAGGGAAGAGTGGCCGTGGGGGGTTGCTGTAGTTTCGTTGTTTCCACGTTGTCTCTAGAAAGCCTAACACATAAGCTGAAGAATTTTACTTGTATCCTGGATGTGTACTTGCAAAGGCTGGAGAATTCTTAGTATCTTTCTACATATATCTATTCCTCTATCCTCAAAAAGGAAATATGGAAAAACAGATCCAGCTTAATTTTTTTCTTTTTCTTTTTTGCTGTGTACCATCTGTTATTTTGCTATTTCCTGCTTATAGCTTTTATGTATGTTGGACATGAATTAGGGTAACAGAATTGTGACTATGTAGAAATAAGCACACGAACACCCCAGAAGTTACAAAATGTAGAGCAGTTTCACTATGCCATTTTTTCTTCAAATCAATTTTCACATTTTTTCAATAAGAAAATACAAACACAATAATGAATTGTATACCTGGTCTACTTAGCTCACTCAATCTATCATTTGTTAGATGCTTCGTTTCGTATTTTCAGTAAGTTTTCAACACACTGCTCTTTGCACAAAACATCGTTTCTCAAGGAGTCACCAAGTTCTACATTCTTTAGATACCTCGAAAAGCACTTAATGTGGTATGCGCTCACTCATCATCATTTTGGAACACATAGAAATGGCCTATATTGTAAAATAAATGTGTGGTAGCTCATTTTGTATACTGTGTATACATTTGAGTTCTCAAAATCTTTTTTTAAACATATAATTTGTTTCAATTTTTTCTGGCTTACTGATAATGGGAAGACATTATCAGCAATGGTCTAGTATAGTTTACATTTTAAAAAATCATTCCCTTTCTGTTTCC